AAGTGTGGGTGTTTCCCAGTCTTCCTCTTTCTCTTTAAGCTCTCTTTTGAAGAACACATTCTCTCCCCTGACTGCTGTTGATCACTTCTATTCAGATGACTTCCCAGTTTTCTTCTCCAGACCCATTTTCCTCCCTAAGCACCTAGGCTGGAGAGGGAGAAATTTTGAGACAGGGAGACCAGTCAGGAGCTGGACCAGAGTCCAGCTAAGAGATGATAAAGGCCTCAACTGGAGTGATGGCTATTCCCCAGCTGAAAGTGTTCTCACCCGTCTCAAATTTTCTTGGTGTGCTTTAGACTTTGGCTAAATAATTTTTTGTACTTTATATCATTTTTACTCCCCAGTTCTAGATTGTAATTAACTTCAGAGAAGGGACCTTGATCATTTTTCCATCATGGTGTCTCTAGCACATTGCTTTGCCCAAGGAAGGCACTTAACCAAATTTTTGTTGAATAAAATGTTATAAGGGCATTAAGCAAAAGTGGAGGTGGGGAAGGAGGTAAGGAATTTCAGCAAGTTCTTAACCTTTTGAGCTTAGCTTAGTGCAGAGAATACACCCAGGTGTCTTCAAAACAACCTTTGCTGTTGATGCCAGAGATGAAATAACAGATTGAAAGAATAATGAGTCGATACATCAGAACAGTATGACAGACATCTATTAAGTGCCTATTCTCTGCTTGCTGGTGGAGCTATGAAGTTTTGATAAGGCATAATCCCTGCACTTGTATGGTTTGCAGTTTAATAGAATCAGACCCAGTATGGTGGTTCTTAATGAGTTGTCAGTATTTTTGTTTTGTTTGGAATTCAGATTAAGAACTGTAACATCCTGTTGCTTCAGTTTTTCTCCAGTTTGACCAGGAAAATGTGAACATCAGAGCATGGCCCCAGGTTGTAGTAGGTGAAGATATCTCTATAATGAGTCAATCAGCTGCTTGAGATGATTTAGACAAACATATATTTTTGGAGCTAAAATAGTTGAGGTAGAAACAGTTTAGAGCTGGGAGTTTGAGGCCTGCTGCATGCTCAGCTACCAAGAGCTCCTTGAGAAAGCCTTGCCGGATCTCCCCCCTCCTAGTGAGCTTCCCCTCCTCAAATTTCCATAGAACAGGGCTGGATCAGAACCAAGAGCCAAGACAAAAGGAGGTCCTATATTGGAGGTTTCTTCAAGCAGGTTTTCAGGTCCTACAGTTTTCTAAGGTGATTCTTTACAGAGGCTGGTTCTAGATGGTATCTAGATGGTATCACAGGTGAGCCTGTGATGGGAGTAGACCGAAGCCTTCTTGGAAGGCATTTTCCCACTCCCTATAGACTGTGAGGAAAGGAATTATTAAGCACTTAGTATTTGCCAAGCTCTGTGTAAATGCTGAGAATACCAATACCAAATTGAAGACAATCCCTGCCCTAAAGGAATTTGATTCTAATGAGTGAAACATATGGGGGAGTGGTAGCTTGGGAGGGCAGGGTCAGAGTAGAGCTTTGGGAAGGGAGATGAACACCCCTTCCAATAGCAATGATGGTACTAATTTGATTATGGTTCTAGAACTAGAAAATGGGTATCTAGTGGGGAGGTATAGAGGGCACAATGGATAGAATCCTGGACTTAGGAAGACCTGAGCTCAAATTTTGCCTCACATTTACTAGCTATATGTGTGACCTAGGGAAGTCAGTTAACATCCCTCAGCCTCAGTTTCCTCATCAGTAAAATAGGGATAATAATAACACCTACCTCCCAGGGTTGATGTGAATTTAAAATAAGATAGTATTTGTAAAGTGCTGGCACATAGTAGTCATTTAATAAATGCTGTTCAAAAAAAAAAAAAAGATGGCCCCAGATTAAAAACAGTATGCTCTACGTTCTTTTCTCTTAACTCATTTTCTCTCCTTCTTTCTTTCATCTGCTCCCTTCCTTTTTCTCTGTTTCTTCCTTACTTTTTTCCTCCTTCCCTTAGTTCTTAGTTAGTGATACATAGGGCATAATTAACTTTTGCATAGATATCTCTTCCTACTTGGGGCTAAAAAAGTATTGATACCCTAACCTGGAGTAATTCAATTCATTGGGCATTTTATTAATGTAGTATTGGCAATGCGCTTTCCACAAAGGAAACATTCAAGGACCTTACCTTACTGTTCTTACTTGCCCCTACAGTAAGTCAATAAACATTTATTTTGTTGTTCACTCAGTACGGTCCAGTCCAGTCTTCATGACCCCATTTGGAGTTTTCTTGGCAGAGATGCTGGAGAGGTTTGCCATTTCCTTCTGCAGCTCATTTTACAAATGAGAAAACTAAGGCAAACAGGGTGAAGTGATTTGCCCAGGGTCACACAGGTAGGAAGTGTCAGAGTTGGGATGAGTCTTCCTGACTCCAGGCTTGGTACTCTACCCACTGCGCCACCTAGTTGCCCAAACATTTATTGAGCACTTATTATATGCCAGACGCCGTGCTAAATACATGAGGTACTGGAGATACAAAGAAGGGTGAAAGGTGGTCTCTGCTTTCAAGAAGCTCCCAGTCCAGTGGGGGAGACAACAGGCAAATAACTGTGTACAAACAAGCCATGTACAGGATAAATTGGAAAGACTCAACAGAAAGAAGACACTAGAATTAAGGAAGGGCTGGAGAAGGCTTCCTGTAGAAGGGGGATTTTAGTTGGGACTTAAAAGGAAGCCAGGGAGATCGGTAGTCAGGACGGAGGAGGGAGGGCGTTCCAGGCATGGGGGCAGCCAGGGGAAAGGCCAGAGTTGGCAGTGTCTTGTTGAAGGAGCAGCCAGGAGAACGGTGTCACTGGATCACAGAGGACATGGAGGAATGTTGTTGTTTGTCCTTCTTTCTGGAAGAAGACTCTGACATTAGGGAGGGGATGCCGTGACGTGCAAATGAATCAGATTTAAGTGAGGAAGTGCTGTGCAGAGTCACCAGCCTCACTCTCCACCAGAACTGTCTGGGTCCAATGGCCAGATATAGATTAGGGTGACGAGATGGCCCCTGGAGTGTAATGTAGAAGACTTGAAAAGGATGGGGGGAAGGGGAGGTTATTAAGGGCTTTAAATGTCAAACAGAGCATTTTATATTTGATCCTGGAGGTCATAGGAAGCTACAGGAATTTATTGAATAGAGGAGTGACATGGTTGGACCTGCCTTTTAGGAAAATCATTTTAGTGGCTGAATGGAGGATGGATTGGAGTGGGGAGAGACCTGAGGCAGGCCCACACCCCAGCAGCTTGTGTAATTGGCCAGGTGTGCGGAGATGAGGGCCTGCACCAGAGGGGTGGCAGTGTCAGAGGAAAGAGGGGGGTGTATTCAGAGATGTTACAAAGGTAGAAATTAGCAGGCCTTGGCAACAGATTGAATATGGGGGTAGGTGAAATAGAGGGAAGAGATCAAAGTGGTTTGGGAGTTGCACTGAGAAAGCCCAATTTCTTTTTTGCTGGAGGCAGGATAGTACAGTAGAAAGAACCCTAATTTTGAAGTCAGAGGACCAGGGTTCAGATCCTGGTTCTGATGCTTGCTGTCTCTGTGGCCTGCAAGTTGCTCAACCTTTCTGGGTCTCAGTTCTTCATTGGTAAAATGAAGGAGATGCATTAGATGACCTCTGTCCATTCCAGCCCCAAATCAATCAGTCTATTATTCTTTACCCCTCTGGGTTTGGTTCTTCATCTGGTTGTATTAGATGACCCCTTCCAGCTCTGAATTTATGATCCTTTAATCCTATGAGAACAAAGAGGGCTGTAGGCCATGATGTGCTGGGAAATGATCTCTGAAAAAAACATGCTCACAACATTCTTTTAAGTTTAATCTGTATTATTAACATTTTTCTCCATTACTTTCTAAGTCTAGACAAGCAGCAAAACAATACATTGAGCCCTGATTTGTATCGTTTGCCAATGCTGGAGGTGTAAATGGTCACACTGAAAATTTAACAACCAGCTCTCTAGAACCTATCCAAGCTGGCTCTAGCCCACCACTGATTGTAGGATTATTCAATGCAGCTTGGGGTGGTGGAGAAAAGAGAGCTGGACTTGGTCAAGAAGACCTTCATTCCACTCTGCCTCTGCCACCTATAGACAGTGGGCAAGTCACCTAACTCCTGAGGCTCAGTTCCCTGCAGCAGCTACCTTATAGGTCCTAGGAGATCATAGCTGTAAAGTGTGTTGCTGGTGTTAGTAGAGATAGGGCTGGTAGGGGGTACCCACTGTTGAGTACCTATATTGAACATGGTATTTTTGAACATGGCACTATCAAACATGGTACTTTCCCTGAAATTCCTGAATTTTAGATGGCAACATCTATTTGCTTCCTCCCTGAGCAGGGTGCTTAGTGTTTACTGACTGAAATGGTCTCTTCTCTTTGGGAGCTTATACTCTTGGAAAGAGAAAATATCTATATACATGGTTTAAGTGACAAATATTTACATTTTGCACACGCGTGCTAAGGGCTTGTTGAATGGGAAGCCTGAACCTCACTCTTCCCACAGCCTTTATTCTGGATGGGGAAGCTTTTCCATAGCTTAGATTCTCAGGGATGTCTACTTGGTGCTTGCCTTGCCCTGGCTGATGTTCTTCTGGCCCCCACTGCTGAAGGCCAGGGCTGTTACATTTCACCCCTTCCCCTGGGTTCCTTGGTACCTTTAAGAGGTAGACAGAGGTCCCTCCCAAGCGCCTACTGATTATGTTCCCCTAATTTTAGGGTCGAAGCACCCCAATTCTATTTAAGCCCTTAAATCAGATGAGTTTCTACAAAGAAATATTTATGTCAAAGATATATATCAAAGATATAACAAGTAAGAACAAACATACATTTTCCCCCAACCCAATGCTTGGGGTGTCACCCCTACACCACTCAGTCTCTGGGGAAAGGAGAATCAGTCTCACAGCTTCACTCAGTTCCTATGTAGTATTCGTCCTCCTGAGTTCCAGGTCCAGAGCTGCCCCCTGAGCTTGCCTCTCCAGGATCCTGGCTTCCTACTAGAGCATGTCGCTGATAGAGCTTCATCCCTTACAGAGTTCTCAGCCTCCCGACTTCATGTGAAAGATGGCCAATGCTGAAGTGAGTGTCCCTGTGGGGGATGTAGTTGTGGTGCCGACCGAAGGGAACCAGGGGGAGAACCCTGAAGACACCAAAACCCAGGTGATCTTGCAGTTACAACCTGTGCAGCAAGGGTAAGTGAGCAACGCTTTGGATACTCTGAAAACCTGGAGAGCTGTGGAGAGCTGTGGGAGAGAGCTCAGAGCCCTACCCCATTAGAGCTGGCCTGTGTCCTTAGTGCTGGTGCTGGCAACAGTTCAGGCAGGCGGACAGGAAGGCTTAGATTAGGGCTGAGGCGAGGAAGGGACCTACAAAGATGGCCCTTCTCTTGTTGAAAGGGTCTTTGGACCCTCGTGAAGATGGCAACCAAAAGCTTTTTAAATACTTGCCATGTGCAAAGCGCTGTGCTCGGTGCTATAGGCAGTGGTGTGCTGGAGCAGCTTGTACTAAGGCCTGATGGTTAAATTTTCGGTGTGAACATTTATGCCTCGGAAATTGGCAAACACAACAAATGAGGGCTTGATTTATTGTCTTGTTGATTGTCAAGACTTAAGAAAGTGATGGAGAAAATGTGAGTGTTGCAGATTCAACTTAAAAGTTTGTCCTAGGTCCAGTTTTTTTGTTTTTGTTTGTTTGTTTGTTTGTTTGTTTTAGTGAGCTGGCTGTTAAACATTTCTCAGCATCATACTGGCTGTGGGGAATACAAAGAAGACATGGTCCCTACCCCTGTGGCTCTCATAAACCCTTTGGAGAAAGGAAGAATTCATGAGATAAAGCAGTATATTTGGAAAGGGTTAACTTCTTGGGCTGCCTTGTCACGCAGTTGACACTGAAGTGATCAGGGAAGATTTCACAGAGGGTGTGGAACCTGAATTGTATTTAAAAGGATGAGTAGAAATTAAACGTGCAGAAATGATCAGAGGGGTGAAGGGGAGACATTTTAGGGACAATTTATTCACAAAATAAGGGTCCCAGCATCACAAATACTTACATCAGCCAAGATACTTAATTTTGTCTTCAAAACCTGTAAGGGATCCCCTGGCCTCTTTTGACATTTTCTTCAAGTGTTTCAACCTTTGTAGGTAGAGTATACTTCTGGAGTCTAACTAGAATCTTTCCTGTTTTTGTTTTTTTCCCCAGTGATGCAATGGGGTAATAATTTATTATTGTTCAAAAAAAAAAAAAGAAAACATTTTAGGCAATGCCAGTTTATGATCATGAAAATAATAGCATGTCACTCATTCAGATGACTTTTTGTTTGTTTGTGTTTTTCCTTAATTTACCCTTAGTTGATAATCTCTTTTAAGAGGTTTTATTGATGTCTTTTGTCATTTCCAATATACCACATCCCCCACACACTGAAACCTCCCCTAAACAAAGAACAAGAGTTGAGCAAAGCAGAAGTGATAGATAAAATGACATCACCCAGTAATATGTGCCACACCCCACTCCTGTCGTCCCCCCTCCTTTCTGCCTAGAGGAAGGAAATGTGCTTCATCCTGGGTTGGAAAGAAGCTGGTTGAGGTCTGCATCAGGAGAACCTCCTAGTAATCAGCAGTATCCAAGTGGAACGGGCTGCCTCCATCCTCCTCGAAGGTCTTTGGGTAGAGGCTCGATAAAGGTGTGTCAGGTAGTCTGCATGTCACGGTTCCGACTGTGTATGGGTTGGACTGGATGGTCATTGAGGGGCCTTCCAAGCCTCATGTCACGTAATTCTGTGACTGCCTCATAGTCACTTCTTTACAGTAACAGTCTGTTATGTTCATTTACCAATTTCTTTGGGGAAGCTAGGTGGTGCAATGGATAGAGTATAGGGCCTGGAGTCAGGAAGACCTGAGTTCGAATCTGGCCTCAGATACTTACCGGCTGTGTGACCCTGAGCAAGACACTTCACCCTGTTTGCCTCAGTTTCCTCCTTTGTAAAATGAGCTGGCGAAGGAAATGACGAACCACTCCAGTATTTGTGCCAAGAAAACCCCAAATGGGGTCACAAAGAGTCAGACACGATTGAGATGACTGAACAACAATAACCACCAATTTCTTGAGTCATTTTCTAGTCAATTGGCATCCATTTTTTGCCATCACAAAAGCACTGCTATGAATATATTTGTGGATATAGGACCCTTCTGTCTTTGACCTCTTTGGGGTACATGCCTACAGACTCTCTCTTCATAGACTTAGTTCCTTTCCTCTCTCTGGTTCTATCTCTTCGTTGCCTTCATTGTATTGCCTTTTGGGGGTCTTTTTTGGTCTGGACACTATCTTAGTCTCCTTGGACATATGCCCTCCCATTGAAGGGTGGGAGTAGTTTCCCTGTGTTCATTTAGAACCAGTTACTGTTCCTATAGACAGAATGACACTTGTTAGCAGTTAAATTAGCAAGAAACAAAAAACAAAAACCAGCTTCTTTTAGGATTTTTTGACACAGATACTAAGGTTTTTGTGAGGTTGAGTTAGGGGATTGATTTCCAATTGTTGAATGTAGATAGGAGCTTTTAAAGAAGTGGGGGGCTAGTAGGCGCTTTTTTTTTTGTAAACAAAAGGAAGAACTGGTGATGTGCATAATGCAAATGATTCTATAAGCAACTCAGAAGGCTCTTAGAAGGCCTGAGGACGTTAGGATTCCATCACCATCCTCCTATTTTTCCAGTGCCCATAGTGCCTTTCACATAATGGTCAGTATAGTAAACACCATATAAATGTTAGCTATCATTATCATTGTTATTATTAAATAGATGTTTTCAAATTTAATTGAATTTTGCAGAATACTTATGAGATTGAACACTGAACACAAGTTCATTTTGGATTCGTAATGAGGTACTCCTTAATGCCTCAGTGGCTTCCATCCTGCTCACTCAAATTAACTACTTTTATTTATTCCTTTCTCCCCCCTACTTAGAATCATACATGAACCATTTTCCTTTTCCCCATTGATTCCTCTCTCGTCACAAAGAAAATTTTGAGTAAAACCCAACTGACTAAGCAGCTGTATCTGAGTGGATATGTCTTGTTGGATATACATGTTTTCTTCTTCCTGCTACTGGGATGGGAAGATACATTTCCTTCTTTTTCTGGGACCAAGATTGGTCATTGCAGTTAGTTTGAATTTAGCAGCATTTTAGTATTATTTTTATTTACAGTTGGAGTAATTATTTATATGGTTCTCTTGATTTGATTCTTTTTTAATTCTGCATCAGTTCGTACAAGTTCACGCAAATCGTGTTTTTCTAAATACTTCGTATTTGTTGTTTTTTATTGTGCTATAATAATAATCATTACATGCATATGCCACAATTTTTTTCAGCCATTCCCCACTTTATTTCCAGTTTTTTACTACCACAAAGTGTGCTGCTCTGAATATTTAGTTTTGTGTAGAAACCTTTTTTTCTGCCATTGATCTACTTGGGCTATATACCCAGTAGTAACCTGTCTGAATGGAAAGGCATGAACAGTTTAGTGACTTTACTTGCATGATTCCAAATTGTTTTCCAGAAGCATGTTAGTGTGTTTACCTCAGAGCCCCTTCAACTTGTGCCTGCTGTTTTTAAAAATCATCTTTGCCAATTAAAAAAAAAAAAGCAGTGAAATAAAACCTCAGAGTCGTTTTAATTTGCATTTCTCTTATTAATGATTTAGACTGAGCAGTCTTTCATTTGGTTGTTGACAGTTTGCATTTCTTCTTTTGAGAAACTACTGTTCGTATCCTTTGACCAATTAGCTATTTGAGAATAGTTCATGTTCTTATATATTTGCGTTAATTCCCCTTATGTTGTGGATATCAGACCTTTATCAGAGATATTTGATGTAAAGCTTTTTCTCCAGACAACAGTTTCTTTCCTCCTACTTACATTGATTTCTTTAGTGAAGACACTCCTGGTGTCTTGACAGTTAGGCCGTTAAATCACTAATTCTTGCAGGCCTGCTAGGCCTGGCCATGTGGGTAATGCCTGACCACAGACTTGGTGGCCACGAGGTGATTCTTCTTTTGGCCACAGCTCTTTGTGTGAACTGAGTACGACGGTGAGAATGGGTTGTAGAAGGAATGATGGCCTGGATCCAAAAATCACGGATCCTCGACGTGCTGAAAGAGCGTAGAATTTCTATGTAGTGAGACCTAGAACCTTGAGATTTGAAGGGACCTTGGGCATCGTTTAGTGCAAACTCTCCATCCAATGCAGAAATCTGCCCTGCAGCTTCTCTGGCTGGTGGGTACTTCCAGCACTGAGGTTGGGGAGGGGCCGCTGTCTGGCCAGGTGGCCTGTGCATAGAAAGGTGATAAATCTGACCACACTGCCCGGCTCTATCCTTTGGAGGTACACAGAATGAGACTAATTCTTCTCTTGCATAATAGCCCTCATTCAGTCCAGGAAAGAGACTGTGTCTTCCCCCTCGAGGGGAAAGGGAGTAGGTGTGGGGGAAAGAGCACAGTGTCAAGCCAGAGGACCCTAGTTGGGATCCTGGTTCTGCCACTTATTGCTTGTGAGATCTTTGAGTCTCAATTGCCTTATCTGCAAAATGAAGAATTTGGACCAATGACCTCTGAGGTCCTTCCAAGTCTAAATCTGTGATTCTTTGAAATACTTGAACCAACCATCATGTTCCCATGAGTCTTCTCCTTTCCAGTGCCCCTCACCATCTTTTCACTCTTCTCCAGACGTGTCCCGGTTCCTCTGAGGCCCTCCTCTTTCGAGATAGGCCTCATGGACCCGAGCTCAGCCCCTCCTTGGGTCATCATTTTTGTTCTGCCTGTTCTATTCCTCGAAACACAACTGTGGTTAGCATTTGGGGACAGCTGGGTCACACTGCTGACTCCTAGTCAGATTGCTCTCTGATAAAATCCCAGTCTTTTTTCTATGAACAAGAGTTTGAGCCAGATTTTTTTTCCCATTCTGTACTTTTGAAGTTGATTTTTTTTAGACCAAGTGCTCCAGCTTTTGTACCAATCTCTCTTGAGTTCTGTTGTATTTTAGGATCAACATCCAAGTTTGGCAAGATCTTTGTGGACCCTGAGTTTGTCCTTCAGCAATTTAACTCTCCCTCCCAGCTCCATGTCATCAGCAGATTCGATACGGCATACCTTCATCCAGGTTATTGATAAAGCATCAGATAGAATAGGACTGAGAACAGTGGCATA